TCTTTAAAATAAAAGCTGAAATTCTACAACCAGTGAAATTCAATATGTAGCCTAAAGCATTTTGTGATGAGTTTATCACCTCAGCTGAACTGTTCATCCTAGAATGACTAAAATCTATTATTTCTAAAATTATCAAAGAAAGAGCTCTGAGAGCTCTTTCAGTCTTCCTCGATCTTATATTCACTGTTAATGAGCTTATCTGCATAAAATTAGGCTGCCAACATTCACTATAATAAAGTTATATTTTACATCACTGAAACGGAGAAATGACATACACATTACCGTATTCGCAACGTTAATGCATCTAGAAGACAAATTAGTGGAACATACCAGCGTATTCTGTGCTATACTGAGCGTTAGACGTGATCAGTGGTTACTACTTCTTCAACTTGATCTCAAACGTGCATTTAGCATAATAGTAACACACACATTTAACTTATTCCTACGTGGTCCATTGGAAAGATTTTTTAACCCTTAGGCTGAAAAGTGGAACTTAACACTCCAAATTATTAATATACCTTTACCACGGAAGTCGGTAAGCGTAAAATATACTCAGAAGGTCTACAAAGTTGACTCTTCCAGAAAGTTTAGTGCAGTATGAACTGTATTTCTGAATCATATAACTCAGTACCCACACAGCATCGTTAATCGAGAGGGTTTATTGGCAGCTGATATCCGTTCAATATTACGCTGGCTGCTAGACTACGAAAGATTAGTCTACATTCAGATGTCTAACACACTAAATTAAGTCATCACGTCTGATGCAAGATAAGTTTAGTGGAATATATATATATATATGCATAAAAATGTGTGAAGTTTTTTCATACAAAGGAGACGAGTAACACCCAAGAGATTTCCGATGTAATCTGTCTTGCTAAAAAGTGTATTCATTTTATTGTATACGATTTACGCCTAACTAGAGTATTGCCAGAGGGCATTTAGAAATCACTTTTACGAGGTTAGTGTGTATGATAACTGCTCTATATTGATGATTGGTCAATTATATAACTAGCTAAAATATTCATTAATACGGCGATACTACTGTTAAATATTATTAGTACTACACAACTGCATACAGGGTATTGAGGTTTGTGCACAAACCTTTCTACTGGTACATATTGGCTAAAATTAAGCAAAAGAGCAAATACGCAATGATTTAAATACTAAAAGTCTCTCACAAAACGTGTATTAACTGGCGACAAGAAATGTCACACAGGGCTTTAAACCATGAACATCAATATGCTGACTATTGAGTGGTTAAGCCATAGGTTCAGTCTTGAAATGATAAAATACTCCAGAAAAGAAACAAGCGGTTTTCAGGCCACTAATCCGCTGTTAGCTATTTATTGTGTTCGATGTAACATTTTCTTCAGATAAATTAATCCTCCATAAACTGATTAAATTATTTTCATTTTCTAAATCAGCACTAATATTTGTAAAATCTCCTAGTTGAATAAACATCTGTATATCAGTTTCCTCAATAAATTAACTTGGCCTATAAATCTTAGATGAACGCAGAAAGGAAGTTACTGAAGAAGACATTTTTTGTTCAAATTAATTTTCCAGCTACCGGCTGTCATGAAAAAACTTCGTGGTTTTGAAGAATTTGATAATATGTGCTGAGTTTATTCATTAGCTGAATCGCCAAATGTTAGTCTGGATACTGGCTTTGAGTCTGAAAGGGAACACCAACAGTCACAGCCATACAGGTATATATGGCTGGCAGGTTCAAAATAGGATGAAGCTAGCACCTAGGATTCCAATGCTAGCCACCTCTGAGCAAACGGAAGACAAGTTTTCGCTTAGGCTCTTGAGGAAAATATGGGAAAATACAGAATGTAAGCCGCCATCAACTATCTTCATATCGTTGTTTCTCTTCTACAGTATCAAGGGTAGTGAAATAGGTAGTACGGTCTTTGAAAACATCTAAAACAGGATCAAACTATTCATACATCTCATTTATAAAAAAACAACGTACCAAGACTCAGTTTTACGAATCTGATCTGTCTGATGGCACCTTCTGCCTAAATCTGTGTATGAAAATTTTAATTTCAGTTATTTTAAAACCTGTTTCAATGTTAAACATAGTCCAAGCGTCATTCAGAATTACCATTGACATACAATCCTTATTCCAGTTCAACTAGCCTAATAGGTCACACTACCTTATCTAGATTACAAAATGCCACCTAGAAGCAAATCACTAATAACAAAGCATTTGTGTCACCTGGGTGATAAGTGAAAGGATTAAATTCTTAGCGAACATGAGTTGGTGATGGAAACGTAGCTTGAATTAATTGATTCTTCCCAAACCACCTGGCTGAATGCTCTAATGTAATCGAATTCTCTAGTGTCCTCAAAGTAAGTTGAAAATTATGCCTCTAAAACTTTATTTCAGAAAAGTATGAAAAGCAAATTCAGAGTTTTACTTTCATGTCACATTTTAGAAACACCATTTTGCTGATCTTTAATTTATCACAGTTTTGTGACTTAAAGACGAAATTCACAGAATAAGGTTAAAAGACTTGAAGTTCCCCTACTTAATATTGCTAAATATTAGATTCACTCCCTCTCACCAAAGTCTAGAATATTGCTACAAAACCGGTTCTTGTCGGCGTTACGTCTAACAATAAAGGGTGAAGTAGTTGAATACTCTGACCACTTTGCTTTCCTAAGAAGTCAATCCAGCGCTGATGGGTCAGTGACTGCTAAAGTCCCCGCATGAATGCAAAAGGCTTACCTAACCGCCGTTAACTTCTGCGATCTGTGGCGTCAGCGCGATATGCAGGTTTCGATTAAGGGCTAAATATAACGCGTCATATTTGGCTGTGCTCTACTGTATGGCTGTGAAACACGGTCATTACAGATGGAGGACATAAAACAGCTTCTAGTGTTTGATCACCGTCGTCTTCATAGTATATATTGGCCATGTGTCATGGTGCCACTGTGTCAGTTATGCAGAAGTCAGGCGAAGAGTTTAGGTAGAAGAGAAAATTTAGTTGACGGGGTTGTGAGCCTTCATTGACTCAGATTACCGGAAAACGTGTTACGCATGCCCAGTCACCATCTGCTATGCTATGAAATATCTAAAGTAGGTTGATTATAGAAAAGGTTTAAAGGTGGTCAAACTAAACCACAACACCAGTCCATGAAGTATGCGATTGTCAGGGTCACTGAGTCGTGCAGGGAAATGTGGACCTGGGGGGTTGGGGTTTACATAACAACTTAAATGGTTGGTTGGGCATTTACAGGGATTCTGCTTAGAATCGACCACAGTGGGGCAGATGAAGTGACACGTTATTTCTCTTTATTCGTCACACTGAATCTCGTAATGATTGTATTTCTTCCTGTTCTCTTTTCATGGTTTTCTACCACCTTTTATTCGTTTGTCCGATTTTCCCTATATTTTGTCACGGTGTCTAACACCGTGATATGCAGATACGGGATCAGGCATGTTAGATCCTTATAGAATAATGCCAAGTACTAAGTTTGTGGTGAATGACTGACTGTGAACTACTGATTATAAGCTATATTTATATTCTTTTAGAAACTGGGTTGAAATAGTCATTGTAGCTTCTGGTTAAGACTTCATTTGACCATTATGCCTACACTGCACTTTTCCAAGCCTTTTTTCATGACGAAAAGATAAAAAAGCACAAAGTCTGTATTCACTTAGTATTTTGAATATTGACTGTGCTTTTTCGAAGGCAAGATGACTGAAAAAACTTGCTACTTCGCTACCTAGAAACTAACCACAAACTTTATTAAGTGACTTATATACGCTTCTTTTTAAACTTTCACAGAGCACTAAAAAGTACTTAGTCGTTCCTCTTGTCGACTGTTTTCAAATTTCAAGACGCTGGGGAGAGCTGTTGACAACGCATCCAGTCACTGGAACCCCACAGTCTTAAATGAATGCTTAGGTTTATCGACAGGCTACGCATGATGTAACTCAGTCACACTGAAAAATGCAAACAAGTATTGGTTTACCAAGTAGTTAGTGAGTTGGTTCACAGTATACATTGTGAAAAGTGATGAATATATATTAATATACTGAACACTTAGCTGACAACTACACAGTATTATTCTAAAGATGCCAGGGTGGCAGTTGAAGAAAATAAAAACGCTTCAACGTTAGAATTTACATAGGTATTTGAACGAGTGGTCTGTGAAGCATACAAGAGAGTTTGACTCATAAAGCATCTTCTACAAACTTCATATCATGTACAATTTGGGAAAACAGTATGCAGGATAGTTATGGTCTGGGATATGTACATCTCCAACGTTTGACTTAACAGTTAATGAACAAATTAAATAAACCTTAAAAGTCTTGAGAAATCTTCTATAATATCACTACTATTTTAATATTCTTCTGGAGTCATACAAGTAAAAGTACATACCTCTTCTACTGACAACAGATAGACATCCAAATACACATTAACTTAATTGTATTTTTACACTAAAGGACAAAACATGTGCATGGGAATCTGTTTCAATTTAACGGAGTTTTGATGTAACTACGTTGTTACATCTGAACAGAATGGGATTTATCCGGATTGACACTGCAATCCACGAAGCACAAACCAGCTGCAAAAATTGCCTCACTAGTCTCAACCTAAATACTTTTTCCGCTTAATAGATAACGGAAGAGAGTTCTGTTCAGTCGAGAAAAATTACTATTAGGTAGTGCTTTATGTCGACATACTGTTATAACTCTCTGCTTTTTAATCAGAGAGTGTATTTCGCGGGATAAAATGAAAAGGTTCCAGGATTCTTCGAAGAGAAAAGCATTTCTTCAATGCAGTCTAATCTGTCCCATTTACTATATAAAACATAAAAACAGCTTGTGTGGGTTGTTTTCTTTAAAGAAATGGTCTTCAGGCATCAAAAATTCACTTTTTCTCTATCTTTTTCGGATTTTCTATTAAGTACTCATTAACATTATCGCAGTGTAAAACTAGTAGTCATGTTCGCTTTACTCATACCAAACTGAACTAACTACAATGCCTAATTTAATAAGCGGACGTCTTCTATTTGAAAGCTTTACTAAAGATCAAATAGATTTTAATGCCTGTTCAAACTGTAAGCTTCTCTCAGCACGTGCTATATTTCAAGCTAAAAACTTCGAAAACATTCCTAGTATCTATTTCTTAACTACTGTTGATTTCATTTTCATACAATTGATAACTGTTAGTTCAAATAACACACTACTGTACGATGATTTTCATCGTAAAAGTTTGTCATCTCTTCTTGCAAAACAAGTAGACAGTAAGAAAGCAACATCATCATTCTTATTGGAAGAAAAATTACCTTTATGTGTTGAATAGTCTATGAAATTCCTCCTTTACGTTTTAGATGATCTCTGTAGGGTGATATAAAAAAAGGAGAGAATAAAGCAGGCGAACTAAACAACTTTTAGGTTAGTAAACGAAATCGGAAAATTATTTTCAAGTTCTAAACGGGAAAGCGAAAATGTAATTTCTCATTTCGCCTACTTATTGATTGCACAATATAAACTAGTTTTATTTTAGTTAATAATTATGGATCGAATTTATACGTTAAAGGAAACAAAAATTTTATTTTTCAGAGAAAATTGTAGGCTACTTTTGAGATGAATTAAACTCAACTTCATTAAAGTATCAGATTTCTGATTTAATATAATTTAGCGATCAATTGCATGTAACAGATGTTTAGTAAACAATGTTTTATTGAAATTTATACGAAATCTGTTACTGATGAGACTTAGGATATCAGAGAATCTTAGCAGGTTTCTAGGTGACATTTATTTGCAGTTGAAAAAAACAACATACTAAAATACAAAAAAAATCCACTCTGCATCTTCTTGTTAGAAAAAAGTAAGTAAAAATCTGTTCATGGAATAAACGTTGAATATAACTCCTATAACTGCCTATACCTGGACCCAGTTGATCGGCTTATGTTAGCATATGCTTTCGATAGAAATACCAACCGTCACCAGAATGCAGATGCGTCTTCATGTTGAATTCCAAGCAGGCAAAAATGAAAATCTTTTATTCCCTTTCTGTCCACTATCAACAAGTAACCTCCGACGTAACTCCATAAAGCTGTTCATTGTATTTACGCGCCTTCTCTACAGACAATAAAAAAGAAATACGCTCATAAAGTGGAGATGTGAACAAAACAACTAGTAGGCTGACTTTTTATTCAAATTAGTTGAGCAAACAAAACGCGTATGTTTACCGAAGAAAACATCAGAATGCGTATTTGTGAGAAAACACCGACTTTGAGGCAGTTTTATTCGTGAATTGTTATCAGAAACCTGCGAGAAGTGGATAGATGTTTCTTTTATGTCTTCTAGGCGGCGGTTGAACCACTTCTTAAGTCAACAAAAACTGAAACAGTAAACCAATGAACCCTAACTATTTGGCTAATTATAAAGAACTCGCCTTAAAATCCCAATGGATTAGTGGGTTCATGTTGTTGCGTAGTGTCCGGCAACTTCCTTTCGTTTCAAGTTCTTCAATGGCTCTCCAACCAGTGCCAGTCCATGATTAAAACTGTCAGAGAATTAAGCTTTCAGACAGCTGATCCTCAAGAATAAAATGAAGGCAACTGCTTAGCCATTAAAAATCCGAATATGAGGCTAAATACCCTGTTAGTGTGCAAAACACACTGAGGTATCAGTTACCGTTTAGAAAATCGATATATCCTATACTCATGTGTCATATTTAACAAAAATGAGTCGTGAAATAGTAAATAAACGGCTTACGGAAGCGGATCTAAAGCATATTCTAAGACCACTCAAATAAAATGATGGAGTTCTTTATTTTGTTTTTCCATTCTGATCAAAATACGAACGATATTGATACCAAGTGAGCAGTCATACGAATTCAAAATGAAAATCTAGTTATACCAGTACCTCAGGTTAGGCTTTTGACACAATAGCGTATTCTTCACTTAGCAGTGTTTTTCATAAAGTATACCTAATAAAAATGACTATGAAAAATAACTCGACTTTTCGAAAACTAAGGAAATATTGGGAATCGTTACGGAATGAGTTAAGATCCTTTACTGCTAGATGCCACGTAATATCTAGAGTTGACTGAGCTGGTAAAACGTCAACTACGTAAAAACGAATATTATTTCTTAATAGTTATCAATAAACAAAATCCACCTCTGCATATGCAGATTTAGAATTTAATGTTACCAGGCTTACATTTAAGTGATGTTTAAAAAGAAAGAATGAATGTGATCTAGGAATGTTTTAAAGTTTATTTGTATTTTAAACTTTTATTTATGGATGAAGTTGAGTATTTTATAGCTAGGTTGTCTGCCATCAAACTGCTTTAATGCTAGATTGCCCTGAGATGCCTGTGTTGATCGGCAATCATAATTCTAATCATGTGCTCTTGAATACAAACCAAAGTCTGTCCCCCTGGATGGAAGAAATCCCTATCCAGCTGATGAGTTGATTTTACTTTACATCCCGTCTTTTTTGAAATCAGCAGAACTGATTCCCTTCACATAATTTATCTGATTATAGCACTCGATAAATGATGTTTCCAAAAGCATAGTTTTCTTATTCAAATATAAAGGAATAGAACGACTTTAATTTGAGATTATATGATGGATAAATATTTTGACAAGTCTGTGAACTAGTTTATCACACATTCACACTTTGAAAATTCCAGGGTGATTGAAGATCGCCAATTCCTGAGCGTTAAGAACTGACTGTTAAATACTTGACAACTAATAAACATTCACTTTATATTGAAATTTGAATTTATTGAAACCCGTTTTAGAAGGTACATTCTAGGCCAATACACTGCCGCTGTGATTCCGTAACTTCAGATTGTTCTTATAAGACAGTCTATACTAAGATATCCTTAAAATGTCAGAAATTCTACTAACCCTAAACAATTTATATAACAGAATATATGCAGAACATGATCGTTTTCTGTCGATGAAATTAAAGACTTTAAAAGTTGAAGGCCTATAGTTGTTGTGCTGATTACAGGTGAATAGTTCACATGTTTAACTCAGAACAAAAAATGAAAAAGAGATAGGAATAAAAGTTTATCACAAACTAGGTGAGTACGAGACACTGTCATATAGAAAAAAAACTATTGTAATCAAATACAACCTTGACCGAAAATGGAACTTTTCCTTGTTGCTGCTGAAAAGAAGTAAAATTTCTTTTCAACCTTCAGGTGTTACCGTTATTAAGCTTGTTTTGGTAGTGGTTGTTCGTGCCGCTACAATTAACACTATCCGTACACCAGCCTAAAGGAAACAAGTTATTAATATGAACTTACAAGTAGTCATAAATAGGTTATCATTTCTGTTCTCGATATTGTATGTATTTCAATCTTTTATACTTCTTTCTATCAACTGTGCTTTCTATACTTTCATAAACAATTTAGGGAAAGACTGTGTTACAACTGAGTTTCATTCTACATCCACAAGTTTAAGGCTGTTGCATACAGCTCAGGCATTAAACATAGAATGTGTCAGGGTAGATCTCAGTTCACAAATATATAAATCCATATAATTATTAGAGCTTCGTAACAACTAGCCATGCGTAGTGTTAAAGTGTACTTTCTACATAGAATGTTCTAGTTTGACCCCGATATAGATGTATTTATCTCTTCCATGCTCGGTCAGAAAACCGTTTCATAACAGTTTAGTTATAATTTAATTTGAAATATAAAATTAACATATTATTCATCTTTTATGGTTTAGTTCCCGTTTGAGTATTTCATAATTCGACACCATATTGATTGTAATGCGATAGGAAAGTGGAAGATCTGAAGTGAATTCAGTTTGCCTTTATTCGTCATCTGAATAAATCTGCCTTAGAATTATTCAAAACATGCTTCGTTTTGAATTACGTAACGTAGAGTTGACACACCTTTTATGCTGGTCACAAGTGAAAGAAGAGAATACTTCAGCACTATCTGTTGATACTATTCATACTGTTTGTGTGATTTCATAGACAAATAAAACATTTTGAGATAACAGGGAAAAAATTGATTCTGGATTGATGATTTCATTGGATACCTTGAGTGTTATTTCATAAAATGTAACCTACCTGATACCACTGGAGTGATCAGGGATGAGAGCAGACAAGTCGATCTACGTAAAAGATTCAAAGACCCATCTTCACGGATCCTTATACCTTATATCGAGTGAGCATAGGCGTAGGCGGCAGCTGTTCATGTATGTATGTATCTTGTTGAAAGTGCATCTCGTGACGCGCCAAGTCTCTCAACTATCACATGCAAGCACTGACTCACTTGACTGAATTAGTGTTTAAAATCTGGATTTTGTTTTTATGCTGAGTGCAGTACAGTGCAGTGCAGTGCAGTAGATCTCCACACTGATTTCAGGTTATTGCAGGAAGGCGTGTCCTGTTGTCTTTCCGATCCTGACTTTGACATCTCCATTCATCTGTGCCACCTGTGGTTGAAACTATGATGTCTAGTAAGGTAGGTGAAAGAGACTACTGCCTTTAGATTTCTATCGTTGATGGTGATTGGTGCTTGTTTTTGTTGTTGCCGTTGTTGGTTGGGTATCTTCATCAACTTTGTCTTCTCTGCGTTCACCTGGAGTCCTGTCTTCGCCCTGTCTGTCTCCCTTATTTGAGCGTTTGACATGGTAGCCCTTCTTCTAACTATTAGGTACATTTCCGTCTTTCTAAACCTTCCGAAACAGTGGTGTTCGCTGTTGTTTCTGTGTCTGTTTCCAGTGCTTCTGGAGGATTTCCATGTGGTCCTGCTGCTTTTCCGGCTTCCAGTAACTGTATGGCGTTCAGGACCACACTTCTGACTTCGTCGGAGGGCTAGTGTTCACTGACAGTTCTGCCGTTGCTGGTGGTATTTCAGGACGAGTTGTATTTGGTGGTGGTGGTCGGTTCAAGAGTTTCTTGAAGTGGTCAGCCTATTGTTTCCCTTGCTTCTCCTCTTTAGTAACTAGCTTTCCTTCACTGTCTTTCATTTGTTTCATCTGTGTCGATCTCTCCCTCACAGATAGTAACTTGGTTATTTGATGTGCTGTTGTCAGGTCTCTATCTTTCCTACCTGCACCCTGTTCTGCTTCACTTTCCAGTATTTTGTAGAATTGTCTTTTATCTGTGCGCGAACCCTTCTTTACTTCTTCGCCGAGAGTTTTAAACGTTGTATTCCTTTCCTCTTCTCGTTGTTCATCCTTGCACTTCACTGAAGTGCACTGGTTCATCTTTTGCTTCCCCATCTTCATCTCACTCCTGTATCAGCTTCCGTCTATCCGTCAAGATCCATTCCTTGACTCGCTTCTTCTTCCTTCCTAACACGGTTATCCAGGTTTCTTC